CGCCGTTTATGCAGTAGTCGTCGCACACGTTCACACAGTGCGGGTAATTAACCTCTGCGGCTGTCATGATCTCTTTGAAGCCATCCTTACACACGCACCGGAAGTCTTCGCCCGAACCCGAGGGCGCCTCGCACTGGCTGTTGGGCGGACACAACTCCATCTTGTCGTTGATTATGCAGGGATTGCTGCACTGGTCTTGACTGGTGTGGCCCAAGCCGTCGGTCGTCGAGTTGGGCGGACAAGATTGGCACGAGTGGTCGCGTTGCTCGACATCCATGTAAGTGCCTTTAGGACAGGGGACACACTCGTCAACCGTTACGTTCAAGTAGTGGCCAACTGAACAGATCTCTGCAATTTATACATATAATTATCAATCAATATCATTGTGTCATTCGTACAAATGATTAGCGATTTTCATACCGAGATTGCATTGCGTTGGAGTGGAGGCACCCATTGAGCCGGTGGTGAATCCCTGCGGACAGGGTTCGCACGATGGCTGACCTCTGGTCCGGTAGTGACCGATAGGACAGGCCTCGCAATTGCCGTTCGAAGACAGTTGGAAACCGGCCATACATTCAGCTATAAATGCAATTATAATTTTAGTACAAATTCAGACATTAATGGCTTGAAAAATATCTCACGTCTGCACTCGTGGCGAGCGATGGCCTCTTGGCTTCTGGTGGTGAGTCCAGTGCCACAGGATATACAAGTAAACGATCCTTCGGCGGGTTGATAGTGACCGTAACCGCAGGGCCGGCACGAGTTGTGGGCCGTATCGAAATACGTGCCCGCATTGCAGCGCTCGCGGCAGTCTTCGGCGGCGCGGGAACCGGCAGTGATGGTAACGCCCTGTCGCTCGCCAATGAGCGCACACTTCTTGCAGGCCAACTGTCCCAACTCGTTCTGATAGGTGCCGATCGGACACTTGGCGCACGACTGTGTGGGCTCGTCATAGTAGGTGCCGACACCGCACTCGACGCAACTGTCGGCCATCACGACCTGTCCGGGCGGACACGCGTACTCTGTAATGAGGCGCAGGGATCGCAGGTCGGGGCTGACGTTGGGAAGTGTGTCCCTCACGTCAAATATGGCACTTTCGACGACCGCTCGCCGTATGATTGACTCGAGACTATCCTTTTCCTGGGAATTGACGTTTACTATGGGATCGATGTTTGCGGGGAAACCGATTTCCACGGAATACACGTCCATATCGTCCTGCGATTGTTCGCCCGACGACTGTCTCTTAGACCGACGCGAAATGTTCTGCTGTTTAGTGCACTTGACATTAACGCCGAGTCCCTTACAGGCGCCGCGCGACTGATCCGAGCATATCTTCCACGTCCTGTCGATGCGGAGGAGGCTTTCGGTCACCCGAGAGGTCAGTATCTTTTTGCCGGAATCGCTGCAAACGACAGACGACGGGATGTTAATCACCAGTCGGAAGATGCGTTGAGCCAAGTGTTTGGGCGCACACGAGGGGAATACCAGAGGTTTGTCGGTGTCGTCGTTGGGACGCCAAAAGCCTTCGGCGCCGCACACGTAGAACTTGGGTATGGGTTGAGAGAACTGCAGGCCTTGATTGCATTTAATGCGGCACACCTTAAACCTGCCGCCGGGGCCCCAGTCGGAGCACTCACGCTCGCCGCCCACCGGCGCCGGTGGCACTCGACAGAACTCGCGCACCACATGCACCTGGAAGTCGCATCGGGCAGAGTTGCCGCTCT